TAAACACCATCGGATGCCGTCACGTATGTTAAATTCGGCTGCTGGGGGAGGCTAAAAGTAGGCTGACAGAGAGGAAGGCGAGCGCCTTGGACCGGGAACATCCTGCGTCGGAGAATAAACACAAACCAGCCCCACACTTTGAATGACGCGCTTAATCGCATTTAAACACAAAGAAATGTAATCTTCATGTTATACACTTTTAATTATGCTGATATTATTCTAAGATATCAATGATTTTAATTGACGGTTACAAAAAAACTCGCCGATCTGAGCCCAATAGGATATTCTTTATGATGACCTGCGAGAAAAACGGACGCATTTCAAAGCACTAGTAATTCGGATTTTTGCGGTTTGATCAGAAACAAATATGCTCAATTCAGTTTCCTTTAATGAGGTAGGATGGATACGAGCCTTTTATTATTTTATTGAAATCGTAAATTTTAGGACGGTGTACTGAAAAGCTCTGTTATGGAGTAGTTCAAATAAATATCATAAAATATGATCATTTATCTCGAGTGACTATTTCAAGCCTGTAGCGTTCTGACTCGTTTTAAAAGAAAAAGGAGTGGCTCTTTGTGTATCTTGCCATCAATAATGATAGTACAGTAACTGTAGGAGGGGTACTTCATGACATGATCATGATGATAGAGACGGACAATTGGCACATATCCAGCCGTGTCCACTGAATACGCAATTTTAATGGCTGGCATCTTCGCTTGGTAGTAGTAGTAGTAGTAGTAGGAAAGTGAATATATCATAAAAAGCCAGGCTGTAGTTAACATCATCCAAAACTGGAAAATCTTTTGAATAATCTCTGCGTGTTTGCCTATAAATAAAAGGACAGTAGCTTATGCTTTTTTTGGCAGGTCGAATTAAAGAGGACGATTGATTCTTAACCACCCTACAAATCTTCCTTGAAAATTTTTCAACGTATTTGGATCTTGGACTTTCTAACGTCCACAGGCCTTGATGGCATAATGAAAATTCTGCCTTAGAAAGTTTCTGAAGATCTGTGAGAAAAAACTTCAGAAACATTCACAAAGGCTCTCTTAATGGTGTGTAACATGGACCGCGTAATATATACCAGCCATAGACAATGCGCGGTTGAGTTTAAGCAGTTTTTACGATCAGTCCGCGATATTTTTGGACTTTTACTTCTTGCAAAATTCCTGCAGTGAGGAAGTAAATGCTACTCACAATGAATCGGGCTTACGTGCATGGAGGCCGCAGGACAAAATCTGAGGAGGCAGCCTAAAGCGAAATGCTGCCATGCCGTACATGTATTGCCAAAATGTCGAAATATCGTCTCGTCATCTCCAGCTGGATTAAGTTAGGACGCGTGCATTTTCATGTTTGTCCGTTTTTGGGAAACATAGTCGTTCGATGTGATCAATTTTCATGTAAAGGGACAAACTATCCTCTGGTGTCTACAGTCTAACTAACAGATATGGTGCTGACCACAAGGGTAAGAGTATTTTAAGTTATTTAAAGGAATCGATGATTACTGTTTAGCTTAAAACATGACAGTGTTGATTATGCTGACCTTCAATTCCTGCTCCAATTGTGTCATCGTTCCAGCGTTTAACTGATTCAGCCGCTGGAGTTTTTGCTGTAAGCGTTCCTGATGACTGACCATAGAAAAAGTCTTCTCCCATGACAAACCCTTCTTATCTGATAGGAAGTTTTCCGATCTTTTTATTGCTCAAACCAACGATCAACTGTTGAAGGAGCATTGATAACCTGAAGGCGCCTTAACTGTTCCCTTTATACTTACGGTCTTGGATGACGAGAGACGGCTTCTTACCAGAGTCACGAATTTATTGACTAGATTACTGACGCATATAGCAAAAGAAATAGTAACTGAAGAGGATGTTGACTTCTGTATTCCACATAGCATCGAGATTTGTGAATGCAGTTTGACGATTAGCAGCCTCGTGCAAGTTACGGGCGCCGAAGCCCAGCTATCCTCCACAGTTTCCAAGACCCAAGGAATTTCGACGGAGGTGGGTCGCTCTAGAATCGCGTGAATTGCTGACAATAAACACACACGGCGGCTTGTTCAAGTGCATCAGGCTCCCCTTTGGTGCCAAGACCGCTCCTGTCCTGTTCCAGCAAACAATGGACGTAATGCTCTCCGGCATTCCTGGCGCAGCTGGGTACCGTGACGACATCATTATCATGGGACATTCCCCGGCTGAGCTTCAAGACCGAGTGTGCGTAGTACTTGAACGCGTGCAGAAATATGGCTTCTGATTGCGGGCCGACAAGTGTCAATTTTTCCTCGAGTCCACCAAGTACCTCGGATTCAGCTTTGACCTCACTGGTCGTCATCCAGATCCCGAAAATATTCGTGCCATCCAACAGATGCCTACATCTATGGATTTATCACAGCTGCGATCATTCCTTGGCCTGATCAGCTACAATATCGCCTTCCTACCGTCGCTGCATGACTCACGAGCTCCGCTCAACCGCCTGCTGCAGAAGGCTGTTCCCTGGTGCTGGTCTTCCGACCGTGAAAAGGTATTTATCGAACTGAAGTCGATGCTGAGTACAGATCTGTTGCTCACACTCTATGACCCGACACTGCCGATCGTCGTTGCTGCTGGCTCCTCCAATTATGGCGTCGGTGCCGTCATTTCACGTACTTTTCCCGACGGGTCCGAAAAGGCGACCATGCATGCATCACGAACTTAAACCCTCTGCCAAGAAGAACTATGGTCAAATCGAGAAATAAGTCTAAGCCACCATCTTTACCGTCAAGAAGTTTCACAAGCTGCTGTACGGTCGTCATTTCACTTTGTTGACCGACCATAAACCATTAATGTCCATCTACGGTTCGAAAAAGGGCATCCCAGTCTATTCAACCAGCCGACTTCAACGATGGGCAACCGTCCTCCTTGGTTACGATTTTGAGATCAGCTACTGTCGCACTACTGACTTTGGCCAGGCTGACGCTCTTTCTCGCCTCATCTATAATCATCAGGAACCCGAGGAGGATACTGTGATTGCTGCTATTTCGATTGAGGACCGAGTGCGCTGTCAGCTGTCGGACGCCATTCGAAGCATTCCTGCAACTGCCACCGACATACGACGCGCTACCGAACTGGATCCCGTGAATCGACAATCTATCTTCTATGCGCAAACCAGTTGGCCCAACATTGTTCTTACTGGCGATCTTCACTAGCTCTTCGCCGTCGAGCATCGCTGTCCGTGGTGGAATATTGCAGACCGTGCGGTCACTCAGCTTTCGCCTAGGCATGTGGTGCTACACCAGCTTCATGATCCTCAACCTGGCACCAGTCTAAATAAGTCCATTGCTCATATTTTTGCCTACTGACCCAATATTGAGAGCGACATAAAGGACCTGATTCATCCACGTTCACTTTCCAAAATGCTGAAAAAATACCCGCTCCAAACACCAGGACCAGGGCAAAACCCGGTTAGCACTTGACCCCACGTGCACAAAGATCTCACCCGTTCAAATCGAGGTGCAAAATTCCATTTATACGAATTAAACAAATTGCCTCCAACGAAAGACATAGCCCAAGGTTATGCGACCTGGACAATTCAAATATCTAAACGCAAACTGGACCGTTATTTGCCAAGAAACTGTGATAGATATACTGAA